ATTATCAAGAAAAGAAAGAAAAACATTATTCATGATTAATTTGATTAAGATAGTGATTTTATCGGCCACCGATAAGAAGCTCAATATATTGTCCAGCGCCACCACAACCATTTGGAATAACACGAGTAACGACATATCCATGTGGTATAGGAGAATCACGACAGATCACCATTCCATTTCGTGGTTTCTCGATATATCTTCCCACACCACCACATCCATTTGCATTTAATCGTGTAATGACATATCCATTTGGAAGAGGAGATCCAAAACAAATTTCTATGCCATCCTTCACTGGTTCAATGTATTGTTGTACCAAAAATGCACCACAATTACCAGAAGTCAATTTTGTAATGACATATCCTTCTGGTATAGATGGACCAGGACAGATGTATTGACCTTGTGCAGAAACATACAAGCACTAAAAGTTGAGACTGAAAAAAATACCTTGACAAAGGCAAGAAATATTTTGTTTGATGAAATACAATATATGTTTCTTCTCTTCTCAATTTGTTTTCCATTTATTTGTTGTATTTCTTTTTATTCAAATTTATTTTACTTATATGAAATTAATCTTTATATAAATAGAACTTATTTCTACTAGTGATTTATATATTTTTTACTAACCAAAAATTATCTTTCCATATTATATATGTACGATTGATTCTTGTAAACATAAAGAGGTTCTATAGTTTTATTCATATTCAGATCCATAACGCTCAAGCGACGATAAAGCGCAATTACAATCTTCAAAAGTTCTATTAATTTCATAATTCAAGAACTTACTTAGAACAATAAATGAATTCGTAAATCTCATAGTTTAAAAATGATTTTTATAAAAAGTACCGGTTCGAATGAATCGTATTTTACTTTTATCAATGATTAAATATATACAAAAATACAAAGTGAATAATTGAATAATTTACCATTGCGTACAGTCTTACTTTTATATTAACAAAACGTAATATATATTAGCATTTTATGATTATTATTAGTAATATGCTTCGAGCACTTGAGCAATTTTTTTATTTTTACTTCCTAAAAGTGTAGAATAATTTGTGAAATAATTCAAGTAGGATATAGAGTGGCGTGAGTGGGTGGAGTATATGATAAAAAAACTAATTTATAACAAAGTTAAAATATGACTTAATATTCCTGGTATAGCAGTATAAGACATTTAATTCCCTTCTATTATAATCGTCTTAGCACATTGGTTTTTATTCCATCAAGAACAACTATTGAAGATCAATATTTTGCAAAAGTTGTTTTAAAATCAATCATAACTACCGTGAATTCATTATCTTTTCTCATCAAACTATATACACAACAGACACTACATCTATTTTTCAATTAAAATGCTCGATCAAAGTGTAAATTGAACGAGAATTACTTTTCTCGGTAGCTTTGTCAATAAAAGGAATGATGCAAGTCTGCAAGTTCCGTGCATAAAATAGATAGAAAATAATCAAAGTTTTTTTTTCGGAAATAGATATTCTATTTTCTTTTCAAATACTTGTAAAACATTTGCGTTTCTTTTTACAATAGAAGTTTTAAGCTGGTTGTTCTTGTTCCAATCAAACAATGATCTTTCTTTTTCTCTACTCTTGTATTATCTCTGCATCCCTCTGCGATATCATGATCAACAATGTCGAGCACGTAAAAATCAAAACCGATATCGAGTTTTTGCCAACAAATCTCAGTTATATTCTACGTGATGTCAATAAAAGCACGTCGTTAATTCGATGTGCTAGTGGATGTATGTCAAATGAATTATGTTACATGGCTACATTTTACGAAGATCTAAAGATGTGTCGTCTCTTTTCGACAGATACTTCTCGAGGAACAGTATCTCGTAGAATCAACGCGAAAATTATCAATTTCGTCGATCGAGGTAACGACCATAGATAAAAAGATACCATTTCTCACTGAATTAGCTAAAATTTTAGTTGCCAAATTATTTTAGAGGATATTTTCATTAAAAATTTTTAAACAGAAAGTATAGAGTTTAATCCATATGTCATTTATGAATATTCGGAAGAAAATATCACACTGCGACAAGTAATACTTTTGTTTTTTAGTACTATCATTGGGTACTTGGCATCTTACTGGAAATATGACGACGGCTCGTGACTTTCACAAGAGTACATTCATATTAGCTACGAATTCTGTGCTACTTGTAGGTGGCTCTAATGGTAACTCTGATCTATCATCGACAGAAAAGTTTCTTGAATCGAACAGCTCATTTGTTCGTCAAGGTGATACATTTCAAATACGACGTTTTCATACAGTTGATCGATTGAGTAATTATGTTGTTGTCATCGCTGGTGGTTGGTCTGCTCTTCAGACTGCTGAACTATACGATCCTGTAACGGGAATATCAAACACGATGATTAATATGACTGCACCTCGCGCAGAACATACATCAGCTGTCATTGATGATGGTGGAAGCTCGACGACAAAGGTTTTGCTTGTCGGCGGTCAAGATACGACTGGTACATTAGCGACAGGAGATGTCTTTGATAGTACGACCCGTATGTTCGCTGCAGCCGCTAATAATATGATATCAGAACGATGTTATCATACAGCAACAGCTATAGACAATGGCTATGTGCTTTTAGCTGGTGGTATCAACAATGCATCAGTAGAACTTGATAGTCTAGAACTGTACAACAGTAGTTCAAACTTGTTCGTACCACTCTCGGCTCGTTTGTCAACTGGTCGATCACATCACACTGCAACTTATATTCCATCAATACAAGCTGTACTTTTCGTTGGTGGTTTATCACAGACTCTCGCATTAAAAACTTACGATTTGTTCAACGTATCTACATTTACTTTTACCATTCTCAATGCCAGCACTTTAAGTGCCCGAGCATATCATACGGCCACTCTCCTCCTTGATGAACAAGTATTGATTGTTGGCGGCGAAGATACTTATGTACGCGTATCGTCCTGTGAGCTCTATAGACCAGCAACAAACACATTTATAACTGTGAGTAATATGTCTACAGAACGTGCTGATCATACTTCGACACTACTCACCAATACGGGACAAGTGCTCGTATGTGGTGGTGAGAATCAAAACAGTATGGTATTGAACAGCTGTGAACTATATCAACCATAAGTTATTGGTGCATTAATTAACAAAGATTAATGTGTAAATGAAACTCTTCACTTTCAAAATTTGACTTTTTCAGTGTTCATTTGTCATTAATGTATTGTATGTTTATTTATTCTTTGATATTCAAATATCATCGAATTAAAGAACAGATTCTGAACATTAAATTATATAATATGATTCGAGCACATTACTTACAATAAACATAACACGGAAATGTACCATACATTGACTTATAAATTCAATATATCACACACAGTTTTATTTTAGATTTTGAATTTGTTATAGGAGCTCTCTATAAGTTTAAATAGAACTTTTAATCACAGATTGTAATCTGATTCAAAATCTTGTTTTCAAACAAACAGTGATTGAGGATGGGTGTGGATTGAGCGATTATAAGCACGAACACCCACACCCTTATTGATACATTTTCAAAACGATAAATTATCTTTTACAAATGACTGTTGTCTTCTGTCTTTTATAAAAAGCAGAAAAGTAGATACTTTACAGTCCTATCGTTGTTACATTATGCATATGCATCAACGAATCAAATGAAAATGCCTTCATACATGTAACACGTGTTCTGTTCGTCTCTGAAATGAGTTAAATTTCATGTTTGTTAACATGATAAGGTGAAAACAGTTATAAATATTTTGATGATATTGTAATCGTAGCTTTTTCCTAACGATCAACATCGAAGTATATAGGTAAAAATATTATTTCAAAGAATAATTCATCTAATATGCGTAGATTTATCTATTTTAAAATAAGATATATCGTTCGAGAGAATATAACAAGTTAAGCTTAAGGCAATTCTTTAAAAAAATATTTTATAACACTGTTAGAAAAACAGATTTTGGTTTGTTTTAGACACAACATTTCTTACATTTAGAAGGAATAAACAACTATGAATATAATATTCCCAGATGATTACAATCAAAGACTTGATGAACATATCAAAAATCAATTTAAAACTCTATTAAAATCATCGCATCGATGCGAATATCAAAATAAAAATCGAAATTGTTTAAAAGGAAGTTCATGTCCTTTAATTGGTTTACCAGATGATGTGATAAATGTAAATATAAACACAATGAGTTATACGCAAATATTTATAGAAAAGCTAAAGAACAATTTAGAAGTGAAGAACGACAACTATTATCATTTATTAGACGATATTCTAAGCGTTTTATTCTTCATCTAATCTGGTTTGTTGGACTTATTTTTACTTTTTTATTCGAAAATTATTGGATTACATGACAAAAAAAGTTTTTTAATTTATTTGTTGTGTTAGAGATTAGAAAAGAATGAAAGTTTTAATCAAAATAGTTCCTATTTTACTGTTTTATATCAGAACTTTGATTTATAAATTAGTCGTGTTATTAATAAATAAAATAAAATTGATGAAAATGAAGTTTTATTGTTTTTATGCAGGGATGTGGGTATCTCTACGTTGTTCCTATCAAAAGTTATTCAAAAAATAGTCATTCACTTTTTTGTTTTAAATAGACAGTAGAGTATCACTTTTAAGATAAATATCAAGTTTATTTTGATATGCAACTCTAAAGTCCTACCTATAAAGAACTCCTGTAATGAAAAAGAAATATAACAGATAAGACTATTTACTTCTACATACAGAACGATTAAATGAGAATGACTGCACGAAAGAATGTTGTGTTTTTATTTTTTCTGTTTTTATATCAATTTAATATATTAAATGCGGAAGACCCTTGTATTTATAACTTAAATACAAAAGGTATAATTGATTTAACTAGTGTTGGCCGTACTGATGGTACACCTATGTGGAAAGACGTAACTCCTAGTACAAGTGATGGTCATGGTAATTGTGATCAATATATATTTATATGATGAAAAAAAACAAATATATCATATTTTGTAGTATACTCTTACAATCCATGTCATTCATTTACTCAAGGTGAATGTAAAGATGTTGCTGTATGCCAAGGTAAGAACTATTATTATTGTATTTTTAAATAAATTATTTTATAATTTCGTTTAGCATTTGCTACAGATGAAAAACTAACTTATTCATTAGGAACTCAAAATAGTATAAAATGGAAGACTACTGCAGGTGATGATACACCAACTCTTGTTTACACATCAGGAGAAAGAACATCAGAAGTTAAGCTACGTTGTTTGACATCAAAAGAGCCTGACAAATTAGAAGTACAGGGATATGATGCTTTAAAAGCTCTATACACTATGACATTATCATCTAAATGTGTATGTTGGGATGGCTGTAAAGGTTACAGATAGTTTCAATATTATTATATAATCTAACAATATTCTATTTAGATGGTCATCATCCAAAATCCAACGATGGACCAAGTGCAGGAACAATATTTATTATTATATTGCTGGTTCTTATATTTGTCTACTTGATTGCTTTCATGAGTTATAATAAATTTAAGCTCCAAGCAACTGGTATTGAAATTCTTCCGCATCGTACTTTCTGGACTTCATTACCAAGATATTCATCGGCAGGAATATTATTTGTATTTCATAAAGTAACTAACAAGAAAGGTGACTACAATGCTATCCCATAGATAGAACCTTCATCATACTTTAGCGCATACATTTTTTTAACATTTGCTTCATTTCGAATAAATACATTCATTTAAAAAAATTCTTGAATACAATATTTCTTTTTTTAATAAATAAATTCATTTTCCGTGTGGGTGTCAACTGAGAGAAGGAACGTTCACAGCCAGATCCACCCATATCTGCACCCATCCACATTCGCACCCACTTATATCCGCACCCACCCACATCTGCACCCACTCATCTTCGTAAATTCGCATCTTAATTAATGACTAAATTTTATTGCAGATAACGACGAAAGCAAAAGTACAATACTAATAAAAAGATAGAAGAAAAGAAAATCTTTTTGTTGTGCGTAAATTTTTTACAGAAAAATACTAGAGACAAATATCCAAGTAAAAATAGCGAGTAAACGATGGACCCCGATGAATTAATATGTGTAAAATGTTCATCAGGTTCTAACATAATTAAATCAGGTCCAAAAATAATTCTAGATTGTTTGACTTTATAATCATACACTTGAACGGCTTCATTCTGTGGAATATGATATGTAACTAATTTCCATTTAATACGCTTTCCTGTTTTAGTATCAATATCTTTTGTTCTGATATGTTTTTCAACTAACGAATCTTTTTGTAGTAATTGTTCAATTCGTGATGGTAATTCTTTTTCCCACAGTTCTTCATTTTCTGTTAATATATAAGTTTGACCAATAACCGTTCGAACGCGACCATTTTTAATATTACGAACATAGATACCTTCATTCTCGTCTAGCAAAAAAAAATATATGATATACCAGAACAAAAATATATCAATGAACAAACCTAAGGGTATTGCCTTTCTTTTCATTAATATTTCAACTTGAGTAGGTGGTACATATTCTCTTGGTCCTCTCAATAACCAACGATCACCTTTAAATATTCATATTATAAACAAAGACATTTATTCAATCTTACCTGCCATACGTATTACTTTATCTATTTCGTCTTCAAATGATTCTGTACATTTCAATATGAGACCTTCATCTTCATCCAAAATATTTATATTTTGAATTCCTTTTTCTAATCGTTCATAAGGTTGAAGAAAAAATGTTTTTTCACCAACAATTAATTTTTTCTTTCCTAATTGATTTTTACCATCAGCTAAAAAAGAAACTAATCTCTCTGTCATATATATATATCGAGAATCGTTACCTGAAACTGGATCTAAAATAGTACAATATTGTCTTGAATTAAGTACAGTTATATCAATAATTGTTACAAGTTCTTCATAAACATTTAAAATATGTGTTTCAGTTTGTTCTATTGTTACAAGCCATTCATCACCATTATTTCGTGTTTGATCAAAATCATCTGTAAATGTTTTTAATGCACGTAAATGTAAAGCATTTTTATTTGTCAATACATGTGCATTTTCAATATTTATAACTGTTTCATAAGCTAATGGTAAATAAGCACCCGGTGTTTTTACTAACCAATTTTCACCGGCTACACGATGTTGACCCATACGATCAGTAATTTCTCTCTTGGCACTTAATTTTATTGCTTGGTTAGGACCAATGATAGTAGCATTGATTTGCTCTTCAACTGATACTTCTTTACGTGGTATATAGGTGCCTATGTAAACAAAGGTATTGAATACGATGCAATTGTATTGAGTTAAGTATGCAATTATTTACCTGGTCCTTCGAATAACCATTGATCTCCTGTTTTTCTTTGTTCATCAAAATCTAAAATAGCTTTTAGTCTTAATGCTGAATTAGCTGCAACATATTTTAATAAAGTTACAGGCTAAATTAATGAAAATAGAAAATCAATTTTATTGAAAAAAAATTTATTATACTTGTTTTAAAACCTCTCCGGGATATAATGGAAACGGATCTTTGTAATCTTTATTCAATCTAATATCTAAATTACCATGTAATAATTTAACTTGTCCATTTTCATCGAATTGTACTTGACCCATTTCATTTTTTACAACCGGATTTTCAATAATACAATAATGTCCTGGTGGTATAGTAATCATTTTCTCAGGTCCAGTACGAATTGTTTCATTATCTTGTCTGAAAAATTTTTGTGGACCAATTTCTAAACGTGTTACACTTGTATTTTGATCTAATACATGAATATAATAAAATGGATGAATACGATGAATGGGACTGATTTGAGATGATGAATCTTTCGATGACATATTTTTATAATAGAATAAACACTACAATTTAGAATATTTTTAAGCTCGCGAAAGAATTTTGATCCTTATTTATATATGACAATAAGTTGTGTGACGGTGGTGCAATAATTTTATTGAATCATTTATTGCACAAGCTTGTGAAACATGATATTCTGTTCTATACTCGTACTATACCTATCATGACATGTGAGAAATTTTTTTTCTTTTTTTTCTTCCTTCTGATAACGACCATGATAGATTGTTTCGAAAGAAAACAAATAGAAACATATGCTATACCTTTTTCAAACACAATTCTGTACTATTTATTTTCTCTACCTTTAACCAATCCCTCCAATAAATGTGACGTCATTTAATGGCAAAATAATGCCTACTTCGCTTTCTGAATGAAAATCATACTACCAATATACTTTACAAAAAAAAGACGATCAGAAAGACTGAATATTCTCAAAGTCATACATGATAATATTAGATAATAATTATTTGTATAAATTTATACCAAATAATTCAACATCAACTCTATTTATCTAAGAACTCATCCCATTGATTCGATAGATTTGAAAATATGCCTTAGACGTAAAGACAATAGCAAAGTGATAGTAGATGCTGCCGACACCTAATTCATACTGTTCCACATGACTGCACTAAATATAGCTTCGAAAAGTATTACTTTAGCTTCTTTAATCATTTTCAGAGTTATCATTATTGTGTTGCACTGTAGAGAACAATAAGCAATCATATTCTAGAAGATTATCTACACGCTGGGTTAACACATCTATAGTACAAATTGAGGTTAATATCAAAAGACACTTTTTTTTATTGAGATACAGTATAATAGTCTTAATATATTAATCAAAATAAACTTCATTGAAAAGAACAACAAATTTCAAGCAGATAAAAAAAGACCAGGTTGTTTTTTTATACAACCAGTAATAGAAAACTGGAATAAAAAAAAGGATAAAAAAAGAAATATCAAACGAAAGAGAAGATAAAAGAGATGAGATAATGAAAAGAAAGAAGTTGTGCTTATAATTCATTATTATTTCTTTTGTCTTTAGATAACTCATTATTTAATTATAAGAATGGCGTTTTATACACTGAAGCATAATAATTAATTTTACGTTTTGATTCACATTCACTTTTTTTTGTTATAACATCTTCCAAATATAAACAAAGATGTTTAATTATTTTTCTTTTATATATATTGACGTGCGCTCATTAGAAATGATGATAATAGAACTAACAAAGTACCGAGAAGCTGAACTAATACACATGTGGAATTCATGACATAAATGGAATCATCGTCATTTGAGAATATTTAAATTTATATCATTTTATAGAAAAAGAATGATTACTGTAACTTTATTTCAAAATTGCAAATTGTTAAACATTAAAGATTTATTTAATTTCGAAAGATTTCTAATTTGAATAGGATACAATTTTAATCTTAGAGAATCCAATAATTGTAACAAGTATATAATTTGTGGAGGATGTTCCGTTATCAACAGAAATATAAAAAAATCTTCCACTACAAAATCTAGCTTATTGAATATGTTTTTTTTTAATAATGATTATGATTAACATTGTATTCAAAACTATAATTAGTGGACGATTGTTAACACTAACATATTTCTATTTTTATTATAGTCAGAGAGAATAACAAATCAAGTAAATTACAGACTGTAATTAAATCTTACATGTTATTTATAACAAGATTCTCAGTCAACTAGTTTTCACTTTCTACTTCGATCTTATTATTAATGTTCTTTTTCTCCTAGTTTTTTTATTTAAACTAGATAATCTTTCTCTCTTCGCCTCTTTCACATCTATATAAGCGCGTTTCTTCATTAGAAATTACATAGTCGTTTTTCAGACGGTAAGTCTATCTTTTATTAAAATACTTCAAACGGTACGAAGTCGGAGGTTATGTAAATTTTAGAATACTTTTTACTGTTTATTCAATAATTCATTTTTTGAAAAAATTCTATTACTTCTTACAGATATTAGACGCATATTCAAATAAATATCCAAAAAACAACGACGTATTGAGATAATTTTAGTAGAATATTCTAATTAAAATTAGTTCAGTATAATAGTATTTTCCATTTGAAACATATACGAGCAACCGGTTAATATTAACGGGTAAATCGTCTTTTAGAGAAAATCATCAATTGAAGAACAACGTTTAATTTCTACTTCTTTTAACTTTACTTTTTTCAGTTAGTATTGTGAAAACAAAGTATCATCTGATCCAAGAAGGAACACTGGTCTGTTATTACAAAGTATAATCGTGTTTTCAAGTGAACATACGCCATACAACGAATGTTTTATGATCATATATAACCATCAGAAGTATTTATAGATAAATATAAATAATTAATTACATTAAAAAAAAGTATACCATCACAATGAATAGTACAAATATTAGTGTTATTTATGATCCACCTGCACACACTGGTCCTTCAAATTCTCCAATTGTTGTTCTTTTGTATCGTTATGGATTAGGATTTATATTCCTATTTGGATTCACAGGTAATCTAGCAAGTATGGCAACATTTATGCAAACAACATTACGTGCCACTTCTACTGCCTTTCTTTTTCTCATTTTGGCTATCTCCGACACTCTATTTTTGTTTGTGTCAATTTTTGACTTTGTTGAAGTTGGTTTGACACAAGAACCAATTCTATTAACAAACTACGACAACTTATGTCGATTGCGTTGGTTTCTAAAGGGCTTGACTCAATTCTGTTCAGCTTGGATTCTTGTGTTTGTTACAATTGATCGTTGGCTTAGAACACGTTTTCCATTCAAAGCTAATAAATGGTGTACACATCGAAATGTTGTCATTGTTACAATATGCATTACAATTATTGGAATTAGTCTACATAGTCATATGTTGAATGCTGAATTCTTTGGTAAATTTTATCCTGGTATTGCAACAGTGGCATGTGGACCTGTACAGTTTTTGATTCCATATACATATTTCTTTTTTATTCAGTGGCCTTTCATTCAAGTAAGAGATATAGTGGATTGAATACATTAAGGATATTTTTCATGTTTGTCTATAAGGTATTCTTTGTCTGTCTAATTCCTGCAACATTGATGCTTCTTGGCAGCATTGACATTCATCGTACTATACAGAAAACAAAATCTCGTATTCAAGCAGTTGCGATGAATCAACCACAACAGTTACGTAATGAACGTTTACATCGGCAAATGTTGATTTTGATGATATCTAGTATCATAATATTTTTTGTCACAACATTACCTGTTAGTATTCGTCAAATTGCAGCTGCCTATGCAATTTCTGCCAATAAAGCTACACCTTTAGAGCCAATTATCAATGATCTAGCTATACTCACTGTATTACTCAGCTTTAACTATGCCGTAAGTCATTAAAGAATTATATTTAATGGGTTTTTTTTAATGAGTACCGAATTTCATCGCTATAGCAATTTCTACTGATGAAATTTTCTTGCCGTTCATCTGGTTTTAGTCATTCAGTAGGAACAATTCTTTAAATATACATATAATGAAAAATTAATATAATACTTTTTCATTTGTTTGATGTGTATTTTATATAGATCAACTTCTATGTTCATTGTTTAACATCAAAATTATTTCGTGATGAATTTATTAAATTTATTAAGATCATCTATCGATTAGCTGGAGGTACAACTGGAAACAATACAATTAATATTAATCATACTATAATGCCATCGGTTGCAAATGGAAATGTTCAAGCCAATATTCGTCATAAACAATCACACTCTTAATTTTTTCATTCATTATTGACAAATAAAATACTCAATATAATAAGAACATTGACTCTTCTTACTTTGATTGATGTAAATAATTTTTTGCCATTTTATTTCATATTAATCATCAATTAATATAAAAAAAACCTTTGAGTGTGGGTGTATTGTGGTTGATGAACAGAAGACATTCAAATCCACACCTAACACCGTCAACTGAAAAAAAGATTGTTTTCTGTTGAAATATAGTATGAGTCTTTATTTATTAGTTTACATAAACTTTATTGAAACTCAAACATAGATTTCAAGCAGATAAAAAAGACTAGATTGTTTTTTCATGTCACCAGTAATAGAAAGAGGATAAAAAAATATCAAACGAAAAAGATAAAAGAGATGAGATAGTGAAAAGAAAGAAATCATGCTTGTAACTCATTATTATTTCTTTTTTAGATGTTACTTTTATTCCCAGATAACTTACCATCTAATTATAAAAATGGCTCATTATAAACTGAAGTCTAATAATTTATTTTTATTCACATTCACTTTTTTTATAACATCTTCGAAATAAAAACAAAAATGCTTAACTATTTTTCTTTTATATATGTATCAAAATCTAATCTAATTTATTGTTTCTTATCTTATTCGATATAAAATATACAAAAATGGAAGATTGTCCTTACTGATATATTTTCCTAAACAAAAAGAAACTCAGGCAAAAGAAATAAGCATGACTAACTCCTGTGACGTGCGCTCATTAGAAATGATAATAATAGAACTAACAAAGTTCCGGGTACCTGAACTGATACACATGCAGAATCCTCTACCTAGATGAATTATCGTTCTTTGAGAACATTTTATATATTATTTTATGGAAAAAAAAAACTGGTCACTGTAACTTTATTTCATAACTGGAAATTGTTAAACATTGAAGAATAAAAGAATTATTTAATATTGAATATATGTTTGATTTAGAAAGATTTCCAACTCATATCGGAAACAGTTTTAATTTTAGAGAATTCGATAATTGTATCATTGAAAAAGTACGAAGTATATATTTTGTAGAGAATGTTCAATTATCAATAGAAATATGAAAAAATTCTCCACTACAAGATTTACATTATTGAATATGTTTTTTTGATAATGATTATGATTAACACAGTAGTCAAAAGTTTTCAAAACTTTTGACACTAACAAATTTTTACTTTTTTTAATGTCATAAACGACTATAAGTTAAATAAATTACAGATTTTGATTCACCTATGCGTATTATATCTGTCGAGGTTCTCAGCTAACTACTTTTTCACCCTCGGTTTCTCTTTTGTCATTAATGTCCTTGCTTTTTAGTTTTCTATTTAAATTTGATAATCTCTCTCTCTTCGCCTCTTCACATCTATATAAGCGCGTTTCTTCGTTAGAAATTACATGGTCGCTTTTCAAACGGTAAGTCTATGTCCTTTTACTCTTCTCGAAATACATTTTGATTAAAATACTTATTACTACTTTGTGGAAATTTTTTTGACAAGATTCTGTTACTTCTTACAGATATTAGACACATATTTAAATAAATATTCGAAAAACAACGACGTATTGAGATAAATTTCGAGTAGGATTGAGTTCGATACATATACGAACAATCGACTAATATCAATGAATGAATATTATTTAAGTTGATTATATGCTACTGCATTCTATAGAAGTCATCAATCGAAGAATAATTATTATTTTCTTGTTCTATTTTATAGTTAGAATAAAAAATAGGTGAATGTGCACGTTACGAACAAGACATGATAGTCAGTATCAATTTAGAATTAAGACTGATTAGTTTATTTCTAAACTGTACAGAATTCGAAACGAAATATCATTTTCCAAAGATCAAATCGATATCGATACATATTTTATAACGATTGATTCGATAGTCCTTGTGAAGATTCAAATCATTTTCATATCTAATTCCATTATCACTTTATTTTGTTGTTCTTTTAACTTTACTTTTTTCAGTTAATATCGCGAACATTAAGTATCATCTGATTCAAGAAAGAATACTGATCTGTTATTACAAAGTATAATCGAGTTTTCAAGTGAATATACGCAATACGACGAATGCTTTATAGTCATATATAAACCGTCAGAGATATTTACAGAGAAATATAAATAATTAATTACATCAAAGAAGAGTATACCATCACAATGAATATTACAAATAACAGTGTTATGTATGATCCACCTGCATACACTGGTCCTTCAAATTCTCCGGTTGTTGTTCTTTTATATCGTTATGGATTAGGATTTATATTCCTATGTGGATTCACAGGTAATCTAGCAAGTATGGCAACATTTATGCAAATAACATTACGTGCCACTTCTACTGCCTTTCTTTTCCTCATTTTGGCTGTCTCCGATAGTTTATTTCTACTTGTGTCTATTTTCGACTTTGTTGAAGTTGGTTTGACACAAGAACCAATTCTATTAACAAACTACGATAGTTTATGTCGATTTCGTTGGTTTTTAAAGGGCTTGACTCAATTCTGTTCAGCTTGGATTCTTGTTTTTGTCACAATTGATCGGTGGCTTAGAACACGTTTTCCATTCAAAGCAAATAAATGGTGTACACATAGAACTGTTATCATAGTTACAATCTGCATTATAACTATAGGAATTAGTCTACATAGTCATATGTTGAGTGCTGAATTCTTTGGTAAATTTTTCCCTGGTATTGCAACAGTAGCATGTGGACCTGTACAGTTTTGGGCTCCATATACATTATTTTTTTTTGTTCAGTGGCCTTTCATTCAAGTAAGAGACTCAGACGATTTCATATATGAAAGATATTCTTTTTATTTTTGTCTATAAGGTATTCTTTGTTTGTCTAATTCCTGTAGCATTAATGCTTCTTGGTAGCATTGACATTCACCATGCTATACAGAAAACAAAATCTCGTATTCAAACAGTTGGAATGAATCAGCCACAGCAGTTACGTCAAGCACGTTTACATCGACAAATGTTGATTTTGATGATATCTAGTATCATGATATTCTTTATCACAACATTACCTGTTAGTATTCGTCAAATTGTAGCTGCCTATGCAATTTTTGCTAATACAACAATTGATGAAAATGAAATTGTCAATGAAACAGCTATACTCACTGTATTACTCAGCTTAAACTATGCTGTAAGTCATGGATGAATCATTTTTAATAGTTTTCATTAATGAGTATCGAATTCTATCGTGTTTTTTCAATCATTCAATAAGTAGCAGAAGAGAATAGTCTAGAAAAATAGATTTCCATGTTTTTCAATAATAATTAAGACTAATGAAAGATTAATGCTGAAAATAATTCTTTGAGTGTAATTATATAATGTGATATCAATACTTTCCTGTATTATATATAGATCAACTTTTATGTGCATTGTTTAACATCAAAATTATTTCGTGATGAATTTATTAAATTTATTAAGATCATCTATCGATTAGCTGGAGGTACAACTGGAAACAATACAATTAATATTAATCAGAATGTATTACCACCAACTGTAAATGGAAATACTCAAGCCAATATTCGTCATCAACAACCACGCACTTGATTTTTTTATTCATTATTGTCAAATGAAATAGTCAATATAACAAGAACATAAACTCTTCTGACTTTGATTGCTGTAAATATTTTTGTTGTCATTTCATTTTATTTAATATTAATAATCAATTAATATAAAAAAGCCACTGAGTGTGGGTGTATTGTGGTTGATGAACGGAAGACATTCAAACTAAGACCGCCAAATCAAAGAATACTTTTTTTTATTGAAATATAGTATAATAGTCTTAATATGTTAATTTATATAAGTTTCATTGAAAAGCAAACCAAATCTGATGCAGATAAAAAAGACTAGGTTGTTTTTTATACAACCATTAATAGAAAACTGAAAGAAAAAATGTCAAACAAAAGAGAAGATAAAAGAGAGATGTGGTAATGTAATTTATCGATAATGAAAAAAACGAAGTCGTGCTTATAATTCATTATTATGTCTTTTTCTGATTATTACATTTCACTTTACATAACGTTTCATTTAGTTTTGAAAATGGGGTATTACAAGCTGAAGCCTATTAATTAATTTTACTTTTACCAAGTATATTATTTGTAGAAGTTGTTCAACTATCAATAGAAATGTCAAAAAATCTTTTATTATAAAACTTACCTTATTGAATATATTTTTTTGATAATGATTATGATTAACACTATATTCAGGATTTTTCAAAACTGTAGTTACTGAACGATTTTATTACTTCTTACAGATATCAGACACATATTCAAATAAATATTCGAAAAACAACGACGTATTTAGATAAATTTAACACGGTATTGAGTTCGATACATATACGAACAATCGGATAATATCAACAGATAAATCTTATTTAAGTCGAGTATATAGTATCGTGTTTTAGAGAAAATCATCAATCGAAGAATAATAATTCGTTTCTTGTTCTATTTTATATTTTGAATAAAAGATAGATGAATGTGAATATTATGATGAAGATATAATTTCATTTGTTAAGCGTGAAGTCAAAAGCTAACAGTCTTAATCTAATATCAATTTAGAATGAAGACTGATTAAGTTTATTTATAAATGGCTCATATTTGAACGCAAAATAGTTTTAAGCAAATACTAAGTCAAAAGTTTAATTATTTCTAACTAAAAATTTGTTTTGCTTAGTACTTTAGTTAAAACTTCAGTAAAAAAATGTAATTTTCTATATAAATTATTATGACTTGATAAGTAAATATATGAATTTTGCTCAGAAAAGATTGGTCAATAACAAGTGAAAAATAGATGATGAAGTCTAAAATATCTTAACAATCATAGAAGGAAGAGAAGGAAGATGAACGTCTTAACTGTATACCTTGTATTGCAACGAATTGGAAAGAACAAAACTGCTTAAACATATTAAATTCTATGGAGAATTAATAGAAAAACAATTTAAATTTAAAATGGTTCAATTCATTCGATGACGTATGTGTTTTTTAAACTTTATTTACATAGAAATACTTTTAATAGGCTTGCGTTATTATATAATTCCAATCATCACTTTATCTTGTACCTGTAAGTTCACTTTTTTCAGTTAATATTGTGAAAACAAAGTATCATCTGATCCAAGAGAGAAGATTAGCGTAATAATACTTCATATAATTGCTTTTTAATTCTACATACACAATATAATTGCTTTATCAACATATATAAACTGTGAGAAATATTTCTTAGTGAATATAAGCAATTAACTATATCAAAGGAGAACATATCACCACAATGAACACAACAAATATTAGTGTTATTTATGATGCATCTGTATATACTGGTCCTTCGAATTCTCCGGTTGTTGTTCTTTTGTATCGTTATGGATTAGGATTTATATTCCTATGTGGATTCACAGGTAACCTAGCAAGTATGGCAACATTTATGCAAATAACATTACGTGCCACTTCTACTGCCTTTCTTTTTCTCATTTTGGCTGTCTCCGATAGTTTATTTCTACTTGTGTCAATTTTTGACTTTATTGAAGTTGGTTTGACACAAGAACCAATTCTATTAACAAACTACGATAGTTTATGTCGATTTCGTTGGTTCTTGAAGGGCTTGACTCAATTCTGTTCAGCTTGGATTCTTGTGTTTGTCACAATTGATCGGTGGCTTAGAACACGTTTACCATTTAAAGCTAATAAATGGTGTACACATAAGAATGTCATCATTGTTACAATATGCATTATAATTGTTGGAATTAGTCTACATAGTCATATGTTGAGTGCTGAATTCTTTGGTAAATTTTTCCCTGGTATTGCAACAGTAGCATGTGGACCTGTACAGCTTTGGACTCCATATACATTATTTTTTTTTGTTCAGTGGCCTTTCATTCAAGTAAGAGACTCAGACGATTTCATATATGAAAGATATTCTTTTTATTTTTGTCTATAAGGTATTCTTTGTTTGTCTAATTCCTGCAACATTGATGCTTCTTGGCAGTATTGACATTCATCGAACTATACAAAAAACAAAATCTCGTATTCAAACAGTTGGAATGAATCAGACACAGCAGTTACGTCAAGCACGTTTACATCGACAAATGTTGATTTTGATGATATCAAGTATCATGATATTCTTTATCACAACATTACCTGTTAGTATTCGTCAAATTGTAGCTGCCTATGCAATTTTTGCTAATACAACAATTGATGAAAATGAAATTGTCAATGAAACAGCTATACTCACTGTATTACTCAGCTTTAACTATGCCGTAAGTCATTAAAGAATTATTTTAATAAGTTTCTTTTTAATGAGTATCGAATTCTATTGTTTTGTTTTAATTATTCAATAAGTAGCAGAAGAGAATAGTCTAGAAAAATAGATTTCCATATTTTTCAATAATAATTAAGACTAATGAAAGATTAATGCTGAAAATAATTCCTTAAATGTATATATATAATGTGATATCAATACTTTTATATATGTTGTATATAGATCAACTTCTATGTTCATTGTTTGACATCAAAATTATTTCGTGATGAATTTATTAAATTTATTAAGATTATTTATCGATTAGCTGGATGTACAACTGGAAACAATACAATTAATATTAATCAGAATGTATTACCACCAACTGTAAATGGAAATGCTCAAGCCAATATTCGTCATCAACAACCACGCACTTGATTTTTTTATTCATTATTGACAAATGAAATAGTCAATATAACAAGAACA